GTACAGCATTGCGAGCCACGTACATTTTCGCCTACACTGTCTCCATTGAAATGAGTGCGTGAGGCGTGGAAGAAAAATAGCGACACCTAGCGCGAAACGCTATATGTAATCACCTAGTCCACTGCAAGCGAGTAAAAATGTGTGTTTGTCAAAATCAAATGGTGCACATGTGCACTGGCCACATCAGATGCACCATGATGCAGTTTTATTATAATTCGGTCATTTATCATGCGTCCCTATTTATTTTGCAGTTGGTTATACAAGTGCAGTGGTATGGCGCATGATGAGCACTTACTGGAAACACGAACAGTAGGATTCATGTACGGTGTCGCAATTTTGAGTAGGCATCTGGCTCATCAAACGAAAATGAGCGCTCTTGTGGACTGATATGTATATGTGCTCTGTAAAATTTTATGTTTGGACGCTAATGCTTTGACGCGCCACCTAAAAGCGAAAAGCACCCACTTCAATTTTAAGAAGAACGCGCAGCCTCTGTTGCTTGCCAGGGTCAACTACTATGGTAGGTGCAAGCAAAATTCACCCCGGATAAAGGTGAAGCCTATGCTTTTCTACGGTGTGCTGAAACGTCTTAGAGGCAGCATGGCGCATTAAGGCATGAAATTTGAGGTGCTTTGCTCCAGACGTGGCGGCAGAAATACTCCACATTAAACTGCAGGAGATTCCATCATGGCATGCATACGCATAACCTCGTGATTTGATGTCGTGAGAACGGTAGGCTGACCCACAAAGAAGTTCGGCCACTGGTTGATTGTGCTTCGCCACGGCACACTACAATAGCTATGTAACGTATTTTTTATTTATTTAATGACAAGCCGCTGAGTAATTCAGCACGAAGAACTAGCGACTGAGGGTGCGTGTTCCCTGCTTCATGAAGAGAGTGTCTCAGCAATTTCACAAGAAGCGTAGCTTCGCCACTGGTCCCGCGCAGGAGGTCACGTAGAATGCGGCATATGCGTTGTAGTGAGAGCATCTAGGAACAGACCACACCCGCTTACGCGGTCCCTCAGCGTTGCTAACCACGAAACAGCAAAGTTACCAGTCTATGTCATACTCATGGAAAGTTGCACAGTCTCGTCCATCGTCAACTTGAACGCCGCTCAGCGTGGCCGAGCTCCACGAAGCGCTGGTGCATTCGTCATGGCAGCGCACCGAAGCGAAGCGGCGCAAGCGCACGGGTTATTTTTCATCGTCAGCTGCCGCGTTGGAGCGCTCCGACTTGCCTGCTTTGTTGCGACAATGCCTGTTTTATCAATGCCAGCCAGATGCACCTGATTCAGCTGTTCAGCACTCTTACCTCAAGCCCTTTCCAGCTCTCGCCGATCACCTAGCCTTTGTGTGCGCTTTGCTGTCAAGGGAGAGCAAGCTCCCTCGTGCCGTACCTCACGGCCGAAATCATACGAAGTAATTTTTGTTAATTGTGTACAGATGCGTGGGGTGGCGTCTTGCATTTCTTGTGTTTCCTATTTTTGCTGATCACGCTGGCTCTGTGAAAGAAAAGCCGTTCATGGCGCTATGCGGGCAACCATTGGGGAAGCGTCACTGCAAAACTTCTAGAGTGTTGCGCCGTGAGGTGGTGGCGGCGTTCCTTCGAGCCACAAAAAAAAAAGAGCACGAAAGAATGAACTTGACAGACGTGCTATATTGTATAGTGGAAAACGCGTCTATCGCATCTCCGGAGGAATGCGCTCGGAAGCACGTGCGGCGCAAGCAGCGTGACCTGTAGTTACTGTATATGCTACATTTAGGTAGCAGAGCTGCGCACATCTTTTCCTTCGCCGCTCACACTGCTATTCGGCAAGTGCTGTCACATGGTGCAAAGTGACGTCCAATGCTCAATTCTACGGGGTGAGCCCAACTTTGCGTACACGATGGCGCGATGCCCGCTCGTTTGTGCCCGTGCCTACTTCCCCTTCACCGCATTTAGGGGCTTTTAGCTTGCACGTAATCGTATTTTTTTCATGTGTTACCAGGTAGAATATGTGCATGTTCGGGTTTTTACACAACGTCAACCTTTACGTAAACTACACGGCGGATAGGCTTTACGTTTGCAGCGCCATCTCGCAAGTGCATTTTTGTTCTTAGGAACTTAGGAATATATGCACTGCGGACATTCCAGATAACCAGTCAAAATAAGCAGAATTGCGAACACCAATAGCGATCACAATGTTTCAGCCGGATTACCAAAGCTAGAATGGCCAGAACATCGAAACCGCAAACGTGTTAACCCCTGACGCTGGATAGGTGGCGCCATCTAGCGGTGTTGAAATGTACCGAACCATCTCAAATTGTTATTTCAGAAACATTGTGCATCGTACATCTGGTGTAAAAACTATGCAGTGGCGTTCTTTCGAATGAGTTACTTTTTCAATCATTTTGACCTAAATTAATCCTTCAGTTTAGCGTCCCAAAACCACCACTGCTTGAGAGATGTCGTAGTAGAGGGTTCTAAAAGTTTCGTCCACCTGTGGTTTTCTTATTGTGCACCTAAATCGAAGCACACGGGTCTCAAGCATTTTCAAAAGCTATAGCAATGCGCCGCCTCACTGCAACAATGCAATCTTGCTCAGCGGGCGGCAATACGTATGCGGCATGCCTCCGCGCCGAAACATCGCACCGTAATTTTTCGTCTGTGCGTGCGACGAGTGGCTTCACTGCACAGCCGTTGAACATAATGGCGGACTTATGTGCAACTATACTCCCGTAGGGGCGCATATACAGTAACTGTAGCACGCCCCCCTCATGCAGTGTTGCATCACGACCAGTGCCTGAACTGAGGCGGACCGACGGATACCGTTGATAAGCGTGTGTTTGCACTTGCATTGAAATAAAGGAGGCGTTGGTTGCGAAATGCGGAAACATCTGCATGTCCCTGTGCATCTGCGCTGCTTCGGCGTGACGTACCGCTGTGACGCATGCACCGGCCCTCCACCGCACGCAGCCACGCTGTGCCGTGTTCTCCCGCATTATTCGACGAGCATGTACACAAATCATACTTGGGGAAACTGAACTGCGATGCGCTCGACTTCTCAGAAGTACGCAGCGATTGATATAATAAAGACTGTAAAATGACCGTTATCTGAGACATGGCAGCTCTGGGGATTGTAGTGCAAAAAATGAAGCTGATATGCTGGAAAACAGCTGTAAGGAAACAACGAAGTTGTGTAGGTCATATGCAGGGAAGGTGAGTGGCCGTTGATTGGAAGAAGACAGGTACCCACAGTAGTGAAACGTAGGTTAGAATGGCAGCAAATCAAGCTGTCTCGCGAAATGGGAGTTTCGCATGGAATGTCCTGTGCACAACAACAGCAGTCATACGTAATTATTAAAGCATACGTCCTGCGTTTGATACAGACCGAATGATCAGTGTCATATTGATACGCGAACCGTTCTTTTTCAGCATCCTCAGGCTTTACTTACTAAAACTATCACGTGTTTCCCTCTTCTGAAACCACGCCACACTGAATCGGGATAGTTTGCATTCTTTTAGATAGCTGCTACCTGCATGACGTGATCAGTTTGGCGCATTCTCCAACTTATACGATAGCAACGGTGATCATGCCGTGATGGACGCATAAAAAGCGGACGCGTTAAGTCTGTAGGTCAGAATTCTGACGAGTGTGTTCGCACTACTGTTGCGCTGCGTTATTCGCTTGTTTGGAAACAAATTTGCACAATAAATAGTTCAAGGTTTACTTGACACACTGGCTGCTGCCGTCTTCATTACAAATCTATGCGGTGGTGTTAAGGTTATACCTTAAGATATGATAATAAGATAACATTACGTCAAGGGTGCAATTCATTGCTGCATGTGTGAAATGGCGCCATAATTGTGTTTTTTTCTCATAGTCTTTCAGTTAACCTCACACGGGTGTTATTTCTTCACCACGACTGATAACTATCGCCTCATAAAGGAACTTTTTTTTCAAAACATATTTTGAGTGCAAAAACACGACCCCCCTCCACAAATACACACGGGCGCTATGCTAAATGTGTCGTGTCTTTGCGCTCGAATTAGTTTTTTCACAATTATCGCTTCGGCATGCTTGAACGAAGTGATACAGCAACTGTGGGCTCAAAGGAATGATTTTTACTGTAGTTTAATGCACTAATGAATGTTGTGGAAGTTGTTAAAAATCTATTTGCTTCAAAAAGATATGTTTCAATTTCGGCTCACACCCAAAGACCTGTCTTATTGCCTGAAGCGTTAGGCTGCATCTCAGATGGTCGGCGTCATGAATGCTACTCTTCATTCATAGACTATGCGCAGCATTATTTGTTTGTAACGTTAAGTGCTAGTGCACATTTGTAGCAAACCGAGCTATAGGGGGAAGTGTGAGCCCTATTTATGTAAAAGCAGTTGGATGGCGACATTCTGAATCCTGAATGAGCAACACCACTATTGCAAGTTGTATTGCAGCAGAGCTCAATAGGGCCCCATCGTGATTGCGACGCCATCGTGGTGTCAGCAACGGAACGCCCAAGCGTTCAGAGCAGTGGGAGCTTCCTAGAATACAGAAGTGTGAGGCACTTAGTGTTTTTGATAACATATTGTTCTTATCGTCACCAAATGGGGACTACGTAATTACCCGTGCTATTGGGCACACAATGGGCCTAACTACTTTGGCCAACTGAGTCAGCACTAATTAGCCAAAACTTTCAATGTATGCTACCATATTTTTTTTGTCGTGAATGCACCCGCCATGGCGCTACGCAGTTTAGTACAGCGGTCTGCTACAGACGCTCGCTGCACGCGGCCGAGGCTTATGTCGAATAGTCGAAAGGCGACAGATTTGATGCGCGGAAGACTTGAGTGCACGTCATATTTAAAACAGCAATCCGCCTTCATTGTATTCTAGTCGAGACTTTTTACAAGTGCGTACACAACCAAAGTCATGTTCTGACAGACAGTCCTCCTATTTAAGAGGCGAAAGAAGCCGCATGGCCACCAATATTTTGCGTGCTATAGGCATACGCCTTACCTGCCGGAGGTGTACACGGCTATGTCCTGAAAATCTGGAGATTGTTCCACTTGTGGTTCCATGAAGGGCTGACGAATGTCGAACCCGCAGCACAGAGACACTGGAGACCATACTCGATGTTTGACCGCACCGAAGGGTAGTTCGCTGCTGGTATCCACCCCACTTTCCTGAAGGTCGCTTGTGGCATTGCCTCTTTTTTGCCGGGTTTGCGAATCGCTTAGAGCCACGGTACCGTTGTTCGCTGAAGTTGCTGCCCCTGCAGACGTTCCGCAGCTTGATTGGGACAGATGTGGCGGGATCATGTCGTTCGGTGCTCAGTTTTAGCGACGAGATGGTTGCAGCCTGGGCGAAACGCGTCGACAATTCACAGGCAGTGCACCGAGCGCTTACAAAATCCTGAATATCTTTGGTGCGCTCTCCAAGACCAGCACGTGGTCTTCGGAGAAAAAAAAGACAGAAAATGAGCATACTGCGCATGCGCCCAATGATGGGTTCCTGTTATCGCCCATTACCGCACGATTATGATGCACGCCAGCTCAGCGTCGAACTTATTTGCTCGTGGAACATGCGCTCAAGTACTAAACACATATTCTTGAACAATGGTTTTTCGCAATGCATCTATTTTTGGTCACGTTACACTTCGACAAAGCCCTTTTTTATATGTTCAGTCTGATACAAAACAAGCCTATCTATTCAAAAGAGAACTTGTAACACGGCTCCGCCACGGCAGATATTAGAGCTTTCCGTAATAATACGTCATCCAACTACGCGTTATCTAGCGTCATCGGACAGTAGGGTAAGTGTGTAAATGAAAGCCTTATTGAGTCCAATTAGGGTCTTGTTGAAAGATTCTGGCCACTTGTATTTACTCCGTAAGAGTTGCCCCTGTGAACATCGTTTCAGGGAGTGTTTCGTGATAGCAGAAGTGGGCAAGCTGACACGTGAAATAAAATAAGCTCACGAAATTATCTATGATAAAGAAAATTGTGAGAGCTCTCAAAAACTGATGGATTACTTGAACGGAGATAATCAATGGGCAGAGAAGAAAATATTTCGTGCCGCTTTATTGTTTTCGAGCATTCACTGTTGTTTGGCATGAAAAGTTTGCGATTGGCTGGTTCAGTTTGTTTGTTTTGGTCCGTATAAAAACACCATCCATTCTATGCTCAGCACCCAGCCTTGTTTCATGTTCGTTTTTTCCCCGTTTGCAGGCGTTGTGAATGTCATGAGATGTAATACGAACTAGCCTATCAAACCACTATTATGAGCATTTGTCTCGGTGCAGAGCTTCTGGCGCTTTGCGTGGGTTGGTAAAGGGAGCAGTTCAAGTCAGCCACCGTGGTGTAGCGGCTATGGTGCTCAGCTGCTGATAAATATGTCACAATTTTGATCGTCGCCGCGGCAGTCTCTTTTTCATGGAATCCAAATAGCATATTGATTGATGTGTGGGGATTAGAGTTTCAAAACCACCTTATGATTACAAGAGACGCCGTAGTGGAGGGCTCCGGAAATTTTGACCAGCTAGGATTCTTTAGCGTGCACCTAAATCTGAGCGAACGGGCCTACAACATTTTCGCGTGCATTGAAAATGCAGCCGCCACAGCCGGGATTCGATCCTGCGACCTGCGGGTCAGCAGTCGAGTACCTTAGCCACTAGACAACCATGGTGGGGCCAATTAGTATAATGAGGCCCGTGTACTGTGTGATGTCAGTGCACGGTAAAGTGCTCTAGAAGGTCGACATTTCTGGAGTTCTCCACTATATGGCGTCTTTCACAAATATATCGTGATTTATAGACGCTAAACCCCACATAATATTATAAAAGCAACAGTTCGGCTGCTGAATGCGCATTTATGCGCAATGTCGAAATGCATAGCAATAACTGCAGACCTTCCAGGGGCCAAACTCATGCTGTCATTGCAGTAGTGGGGGGACTGTAAATTAATTTCAACGTGTTTTAAAGAGATCCTGAAACATTTTAGAAAAAAAGACAGCTTATGGTACCATGGAACCTATCTCTTTCAACGTGTAGTGCTCTCTGGTAGCCAGGACTACGCGATTTTATTTTCAGAGCAGTATATCAGCAAAAGTCATCAGACAGCGTATTTCATGCGCCAAAATCAATGATAAAGTCGGAAATTGTCATAACTAACGCGAATAACTTTAGTTTATTGTAAACGAGCAACAGGTGCCTCGGGCGGCATTGCGACTTTCTCCGCCACCTGTGATAGGTGAAAGCTCCATGATATCATCGACGGTATATATCGTGATGGGAGTTGACGCAAATGAAACAGGTGATGCCACGTTGTCAGTGTTTTTCTCTTCTGATGAAATAGGCTTGTTGTTGCGATTTTGGCGAACTCTGGCAGGCAAAACGAGTCAAATGTAGAGTCAACCACTAAAGTTTGTGAACCACGAGAGCGTGTGGTCAAGAGCCTCTTAGCGACACTTCCGCTACGTCACTAGCTATCAACAGCAGCACTTCGTTTAAAGCGCATCCTTCCTGAAGAAATAGCCTGTCTATTTTTGAGTTGTACGTGCGCACATATTTACTACTTATCTATTTCAAAGTCAGGTGCTCTTTGGTAGCCAGGGCTACGTGATTATATTTTCATAGCAGTATATCAGTACAAGTCATCATACAGCGTATTCTTCGGCTATTACAGGTTCTTTTTTCGTGTAGCCACGCTGTTGCTTTTCGCTTTCTTTTGCGAGCGCGTGAGTGAGCGGCGAGGCAGCCATGTGAACCATATGCTGTCCGGAGGAAACTGGCGCGACTGCATTTTTTTCATAAGATATTTTTTCACAATCCATCAATGAAGCGAGACCTCATTTCACAACCGTCATACCACTCATCGCGCATTGATCATCAGCATAAGGTTGCCATTCCGTTTTGCCGCACCAAATTCTTTTCAGCAGCCTTCTTACCGAAAACAGCCGCCGATTGGAACCCTCTTCCGTTTTATCAATAACAGACCCTTTGTTATTCAAGACTGCAATTTCTCAGCAATGCTTGTAACTATACGCAGTTTCCATTATCTATCTTTGTCTTGTATGTGCTTGAATTCTTATACATTTTTAGTGGACTTATGTTGCCTTCCTAATTTGCGCACCTGATACTTGTTTCTTTATTTTGTCTTTTTTTCTTGTGTGTTATATATGTTGTACCCACCCCCTCTGTAATGCCCTACGGGCCCTGAGGGTATTCTAATAAATAAATAAATAAATAAATAAATATGCTCATTTAGTAGGCAGTATTATGTTTTCGTTCTCCGCCCATCGCTATGTGACAGTGGCGGCCGAGATTTGATCACCTGCGCCCAGGTTTTGTTGCGCAAAGCCCAAACTATCATGCTGTCACAGTAGTTACATTTAGAAAATTAAGAAATAATCAGGTGTCATGAATTCTTTATAAATTTATTTATCAGACATTTACAGAATTGTCATTAAACATAAATACCTCAAATATTTTGTAGGAAGTGAAATGTCCACCCGTTTCTGGTACATTATCGATGCATGCCGGCATCGACTAATAATGTCCCATCGACCGCGCAAGTTTTCTCAATATTGTGCCACCGTTGGCAACAGCGTATCAGCCGTGCGGTCGTGGTTGGCTCGTGTGAACAACCGTTTCTTCAGCGTGCCCTAAACATTTTCTATGGGACTGAAGTCAGCGCAATTTGGCGGCCACTCAAGCTTGCAAAAAGTCTGCTCTAAAAGCAATGACTGGGCGACACGCGTTTCATGTTGTGGGCTGTGGTCATGTTGAAAGAAGCGGCAGCAATAGCTGAAGAGACCATCCAGCGCATACGGAACGAGGTGTCTGGTGATGACGTCGCAGTACCGTGACGCAGTGAAGGGCCCTTCTAGACGCACAAAAAGACCAAGGTCATCTTTACTGATTGCTTTCCACGCGGCGATGCAACATTGTCAACTGGATAGAACACTCTGTGTGTTATTAGGCAGATACTTGCAAGAAATAACATGCGATAAGGTGCATCTAAGCATGTTAAGATACCTCAGGTGTATGAACTGTATACGGATATTACAGAGTTCAGAGTTTGAAATCGGAAAAGTGCGAACATCATTAAGGAGTACCGAAATACCCACTGGCAGCTTTTAATTACATTCAGAGTAAAGAAAACTATGAAACAATCATTAAATTCGTGTTTTCTACACTGTAGGTTTACAGCGAAAGTCGTAGTTTCCAAGCCCTTCCTTTACGTGAAACATTTGGTGATGCAGAATTATCTTCCTTACTTAATTGCGAATTCGCATTAAACATACCAGCTGTTTAGTGCACGCCGAATTCGCTTTCGTTGGTCTCAACGCGTTGAAAAAGTTGATTTGTCGCTAAAGATGACATCACCCCATTCCTCAGTTCTCCAATCCTTCATTGCTGTAGCGAACATAAATCGTTTTTGTAGCTGGCTCCCTGAGGGGCAGAGCGAAAAGCCTGCAGTGATGTACCGGTGTTTGCCAATGGGACATGCCTACCGTTGCTAATGTGCAATGAAAGACAGAAGACTCCGATTGGGACAAAGAGACCCGCAGTGCGCTATCAGCTAACGCACATGCTGAGAATGTTTATTGTTCAACAGCGCACAGGTTAAATATCCCACTGGCACTATCCTTGGAGGTCAAGATCCAGTGGCTATTCACGCGGGGCGGCCAGTGAACGGTTGTTTAGAACAAGTTGAGGTTTCAAGCAACGCAGTTGCTTTTTTAACCATCCCTCTTTCGTTCACCCCTTTTTTTCTCGCCGACTACGCGCCTTAGCGTGCACAGCCCTTCTTAGGGCTACACATGGTACCCCCGGTCGCGCATATTGAGATTCTAGTAGATACAGAGCTAGCAACCGCTCCTGCACGCGGATTGGCTGTTTCCGCACAAGACACTCTGATGTCATATTGTACCAACGGGAGGCCAACGACAACATGACCGTGACGCTGTTTTGTACACCTTTTAAATGCGAAGCATTTCTTGGCAAACTTCGGCGACTTTGAGTATATCTATCTATCTAGCCACTTACGTTTAGGTGCTCTCGCGGTCACCTCCTTAACTGGGCGTGAATCAAAATTAGCACGATAGGTGAAGATGGTTTGCCGAATATGGCGTGATGGCCAAGACAATAATAATATCACAACCCCGTCGCGTACGTCGTCAAACACTTCTCCCCAGACAGTGGCACATACCCAAGGGCGGGTATGTGCCACTGGTATGCGGGTACGTGCCACAGGTGATTGACACTTGGTATCTATCCAGGAACGACGAGAACACACATGGGTAACATTAACGCGTAAGCGTTAAACAATACCCGACATCGGTAGCGTCGTCCCAACGAAGGCATAGAATAAATGTCAGTATTAGGAACTTGACATAGC